GCTGCAGTTCTTTATACAAACTCCCAAGCTGTTTTCCTCTAATCCCCTATGGCTCCCTATACATGGAGCCATGTTTCACAGAGGGAGAGCTCTTGCCCTAAATGCCTGAGCCCTGTGGCCAAGTCTCCAGGATACCTAGCTGGGCCACTGGAGTGCAGAAGACAGGCTCAAGAAAGCCCATGGGTAGCTGCTTTTTTCCTTTTCACTATGAGGTAAATTTGCTAGAAGTCCTTAACAAAGAGAGCAGTCACTGGTTCATATTGCTCATGTTTAGCTTAGTGTGTGTGTGTCTCATCTCTCGACAGTAGGATGACATCTTAAGCCACTGGATTTAATATCTCAGGCTTCTCAAATTTTCTCAGGGTCTGTGAAGCTTTTCTAGCAAATCATCACCCTAGATTTAATTTTGAACAATAAAGGCATAAGATATGACTGATTCCCATATGCCATTAATCTACTTTCTATTTAAGAGACAAGACTCCAAACTGGAAGATATATTGATATTATTCTGACTGTGGCCAAGTATCACTTAGTCATCCAAAGTGTTTATTTAATGTTTATCCTCCTACAATGTTGTTACAACAAATTATGTAGAAAAAAACATCTGAAAATCAAATTATGTTCCCGTCTGCTTAATATTAGATTTTAAACTATGGATGTAGATTCAAGAAAGCAAATAAAAAGGAATTCAATTAAGTTATAAAATTGCATTAAGCAAAAGACAAATCAGATTACAAAAGTAAATATACGACAGAATCTTGTTAATTATACTCACTTGCAGCTTATGAAAAACTTGTACAGTGCTAGAAATAATGCTATTATAATTGAGGTATGATGGGAAAAGTGCATAAAATCAGAGAATTAAGGAAAATCAAAACGAAGTCTATGTAAGTAGCATGGCTTTCTGGAATAGCAGGGGAAACGCTGGGTGCCTGTGCCCTCAGAAGTAAGACTGCAAAAGACAAGAAAAAATTCTTGATGGTGTATTGAAAAAAATAAAATGTAGGATGATATGGACAAAGGAAGCAGCTAAATAATATCTCTGTGAAGCTTACCAAATGCCAAAACCATAATTTATAGCTTTAATATTAAAATAATAAAACAAAAATGTGCAGGTCCAAAAAATCCTGAAGACCCAGAACATGAAACACAGTCATCCCAGGCTGGAAGCAATCAGTGTGAATGTGCATTATAATTTAAAGCCCAATTCAGTTCAATATGTTAGCAGTCTTCTCACATCTCTTAGAGCCAGAAGCATTGAGACAGACACACATAGAAGAGAAATAGAAAAAGATTTTGACTAAAAGATTTGTTGAATCAATAAACTATAGGGTTTCTTAGATCATGGTCCCCAACTCTTGTATATCAGATGTATCTGTGGTGTTCACTAAGCCTGTGAACACTGTAGCTGTATCTGTAGCTGTATCTACAGTTAGAAGCAGAAAGAGGACAGATGCAAAGGATAAGCAGTTTATCAGTATATGAAAATGTAAAGGTTTCCCATGACTTTATTTAACTGTAATGTTAGAAGCAGATCTACAATATAAAGGTCACCTACTTCCAAATTACCAACATAATTCAAGACCTCATAAAATATTTTCTGGCAGTTGATAAAGAATGTTATCCTAATTTTCCATTTATAAGGTAGAGCAGCCTGGATTGTTATGGATATAAGGAAGAAAAGTGGCAAAAGACATTTGCATCCTTATTAAAGTTATAATAAAGCATTCTAACTTGTTTTCTAAAAAATGATTTTGACTATTCAATGTAGCAAACCACTTTTCTATCTACTTCTGCCTCCATAATAAAGGATTCATCATGAACAATATTGCTAGACAAGGTTATCCCTCTTTGAAGAAATGACAAATGAGAGATCTTTGTCATATATGCATTCTGGAATATGGAAGGAGTTGGCTGAGGGGAGAGCTGGGAGTCTCAAAATGCATATTCAACCTTATAAGCAATGCTGAGAGCCTGCAAGATCGTGCCCAATACCAAAATGTGAACTGAGCAAAGTTTCTACTTGCCAGTTGTCTGGTTGCCCCAGTTCTCCTAGGCTCTACTAAGCACTGAGAAAATACCCCAAACTTACTTATTCTTTCATCAAAATATCCTTGGTTTAGGAAGTTTTTTAAGGTGCTATTTCTTTAAATGTGTTGTATAAGACATTTATAGACTTTTAGTAAATAAATTTAAAAAATGGTTGGGCTGGCTGGGCTGGTGAGATGACTCAGTGAGTACAGGAACTTGCTGCCAAACCTGACAACCTGGATTTGATCCCCAGGTCCCATATGACAGGAGAGAACCTTCCCCTGCAAGGTAAGTTGTCCTCTGACCTCCACATGCACACTATGGCACATGTTCATGTGCATGCATACACACACACACACACACACACACACACACACATACATACACACACACAAATAAACATAAAAAATGTTTGGACAAAAATCACGTGAGTATTAAGGATGAAAAGAAAGAAATATTCAACTTAATTTCCAGAGGAAAATCAAATCTAGAGTAAGATGAAAAGCAAGCAAGGTCTACTGACACAGTCTTATAATCCCAGAGCTTGAGGCAAGAGGATCACAAGCTCAAAGCAAGCCAGGCCAAATTAGTGACAACCTGTCACAAAATTTTAAAACATGAAAAAAGATCTAGGGTCATAGTTCAGCGGTAAAGTCAGTATTCATGAAACCTGTCAGTATTCATGAAACCCTAGGTTCAATGCCTGGTTCAACAGAAAGAAAATAGAAGAAAACACTAAAAGCAGTCAAAAGGCTACTGGGCTGGGGAGAAGGTTCAGTGGATAAAGTGTTTACTACATAGGCATGAGGATTTGAGTTCAGATCCCCACACAGTGAACACAGTGGCAAGAATCTGTGCTCCCAGTGCTCATATGGTGAGACGGGAGGCAGAGCAAGGGAGTCCCCAGAAGCCTCTGGGCGAGCTAGTCTGGTGTATGCAACAGAAAACAGCAAGAAGTTTTCTCTAACAAAGTAGAGGGCAAAGACCAACAAGCAAAGTTGTCTCATGTCCTCCACACATATCTGTGACTCATGCATGCCTGCACTCACACACATGAACATGCAAACACATACACACATACATAAACATAAATACCACATCAGCAACATCACTGTGTTCTAAAATAGTCTCTAACTATAAAACTGTTATAACTGTTATTAAATATAATTTAATAACAAAAATGATGTTAAATGATTTTTCTAACTTATAAGATAGAAAAAGAAAAACAAAATGAATCAATAAAACAAACAAATAAATCACAAGCTGAATGTAGGACGATATGTGGAAGTGGAACATGGACTACCAGGAGCCTTGATCATCAAGAATCTATGACTGCAAATGTAGGCACAGAAAATAATGACTAGGGTCTGTCCAAATGAAAGGTACTGATCTGAAACCCCTCCGTACACCATGCTCAGCCAAACAGCCTGTATCTTACATAAATATGCTGACTGAGAAAAACTGGCCTTCTAGCAGGGAACTAAAGCAAAATCCTCTAGTTTGTAGAATTCTGGGTTTAAAAGGAGAAAAAAGCTACAGTTATAACAATAGTCTCCACTGAGAACTGAAGACCACAAAACTATTGTCACAGAAATCTAGGATTCAAATTTATATGAAAGCAACCCATGACAATATTAGAAAGGAAAATGCCCGAGAATCTACAGAGTTATTGAGAAAACATGAATGCATAGTTTTGAAAACTCCAAGGATAAGCTACAAAAATTAAAGCAAATTTGGCCCAGTGTGGTGGTACAAGCCTGTTATCCCAGCACTTGAGAGGCCAAGACATGAGGATTGCAAGTTGAAGGCCAGCCAGGCTACATAGTAAATCCTGTTGAGGGAAGGAAGGAGAAGAGAGAGGGAAGGTGGGGAGATGACTCCGCTCCTAAAGTGCCTACTATGTAAGCATAAGGACCTGAGTTCAGATCCCTAGCCCCCACAAAAAATCCAGGTGTATTCATCACCTTACTGCTGGGGCAGGGGTGAGGGTGTGGGAGGAGAAGGGTGGAGACAGGTGGATCACTGTAGCTCAGCCAGTCTAAGAAAATCAATGAGTTCCAGATTCACTGAGAGATTCTATGTAAGATAAATAAGGTGGGGAGTAACTGAGTGTCTTAGTTTGTTCTTCATTGCTGTGACAAAACACTCTGACCAGTACCAACTTGGGGAGGAAAGGGTTTATTTGTCTTACATCTCCCAGGTCACATGCAGTTCATCCGGGAGCCCAAGGTAGGAACTCAGGGCAGGAACCTGGAGGCAGGAGCTGGAACACAGGCCATGGAGGAACACTGCTTACAGGCTTGCTCCCCTGGCCCCTACTCAGCCTGCTTTCTTATGCAACACAGGCCCACCTGCCCAGGGGTGGCACCACCCACAGTGGGCTGGGCCCTCCCACATCACTCATCAAGAAGATGCCCTTCAGACATGGCCGGGGTGGTACCACCCACAGTGGGCTGGGCCCTCCCACATCACTCATCAAGAAGATGCCCCTCAGACATGGCCACAGGCCAGTCCAATAGAGGCAATTCCCTGATTGAGGCTCCCTCAACCCAGGTGTGTCAAGTTGACACTAAAGCTATCCAGCACACTGAGGAAGATCTCTGGCCTCCATGCACATGTACACACACATGCACATGTACCCACACATGTATGTGCACATACCCACACAAGTGTACTTATGCTACACATCAAAAAGAAAAAGGACAGACTAAATCTGCACCTAAACCATCTTAGTGAAGGTACAGAACACCAAAAACAAGAAAATCACTCCTTTAAATTTTCAGAGGAAATAAAATGAGCTGAATAATATTCTATTTTGCATATGTATTAGACTTTTATTATCCATTCCTGAACTGATGAACACTAGAAAAAAAGAGTCTATTCAATAAATGATGTTGGAAAACTGGATATCTACTGCAGATGAATAAAATTGGATTCACAACTTTCACCTTTTATAAAAATCTATTTGAGGCCAGACGTTCTCCGCCGAGAGTCGCCGTGGTTTCCTGCTTCAACAGTGCTTGAACGGAACCCGGCGCTCGCCCCCAGCCGCCCCCAGCCGCCGCTCCGAGCACAACCCTCCGCCAGCTCGTCACACCTCAGCCGCCGCCATGACCACCGCCGCGTCCCCGTCTCAAGTGCGCCAGAACTACCACCAGGACTAGGAGGCAGCCATCAACCGCCAGATCAACCTGGAGCTCTATGCCTCCTACGTCTACCTGTCCATGGTGAGCGCCCCGGGCCTGGGGCTGGAGCGGGGCGCGGTCTCCCCGGGAGCCTCTCTGGGGAACCGGGCGGGGCGGGGCGGGGCGGGGGGGGGGTTCC